GCTCAGTCATTTTCAACACCCAATGTAACAAATCATGGATGTATTGTCAGTATGTACATGCATCATCAAATGAAATATGAACTCTTTACCCCCAGACATCCAGATGGATATTCTCCATACTGTTCTCTATACATTTCCTAAGGTGCTGACAAGGAGAATTTGTTTAACAATCAAAAGCTCCTTCAGTTGGTGATCATTTTCTTTAATCTCCTGACCCTAATGGCTGATTCAGGGGTGATATTGTAAGGAGAAATAAGATGCTAGTCACACCCTTGCGGGCAAAGGGTTTAACCCCTTTGAGTGACTTGCGACTAATATCACCCCTGAATCAGAAATTAGGGTCAGGAGTAAACAGGAAATGGTCACCAACTGAACAAGCTTTAATTTGACAGTTTAACAAATTCTCCTTGTCAGCACCTTAGGAAATGTATAAAGAACAGTATGGAGAATATCCATGCTGATGTTTGGGTGTAGAGGGTTTAACCTTTGTGGTCCCATTTTGGATAACCAGGCAGCAGCCAAGAAGATTTACCACTGCGGAATGGATGGGTGTAGCAAGCAATTCTCCACGTCATACCGGCTGAAGGCTCATGGGCGGAGTCACACGGGAGACACGTTCAGGTGTGAAGAAGAAGGCTGCGAGAAGGCCTTTATCACTCAGAGTGACTTGACCAAGCATGTAAGAACTCACTCAGGAGAAAAACCGTACCGATGTGATCACGAAGGGTGCGGAAAGGTGTACACCACGGCACACCATCTGAAGGTTTGTTTTTTGGTTTTACAGTACCAACATGTACATGCAGATCTACTGTGTTTTTAACAAATGGTGAACGCCATGGCGTGTACTATTGAGTTATGGATGCACGCGGGAGGTTGCTAAGCACGAAAGAAGCGTAAGAGTCGCACGAGGCGATAGCCGAGAGCGACTCTAGCCTCTTGAGTGCTAGCAAACCTCCCAAGTGCATCCATAACTCAATAGTACACGCTATGGCGTTCACCATTTGTTTTATATCATAACATTGATACATTGGAACAAGAGTTCCCTTTTATTTAACAAATCTTACGTGATTAGAAAAAAACATGCGCGCGCGGAAAATTAGTGTTAGCATTTGCTCACGTCAGCAGCAGGCACCCATGGGCAAATAGTAGATGCTGAATTAACCAATCAGAGCGCGCGCTTTGCTTTAGTTATGTTATAAT